ATACAGGTAAGTCAGACATACATTATTTTGACAACCTTAGCCAAAACTAAGAAAATCCTAGGTCAGTAAAGTTTGTATGAAAATACGAGTACATTACACCGTGTTAGGATGACTTTTAAATTTCTGATAAATCTCATTAATGCCATACGCCATAGAGCCAGTCGTGGGCCAGTCAGTGAACTTCGCTTGTAATTAGGTCATTTTCAATTCAATTTTCAAAATCGTAGAACAAAAAAATTTATGATTTCTTAGCTCTATAAATCTGTATCTGTATTGAGTTGATTTGTCGGCCTAGTATTGATCCTCATTAAAGACGTTGGTGATTAAGTATTAGCTACAAAAACTAGAAATTATACAACATACACCACCATGTTTCTGCAAAATAAATATTATCATTTATAGTTATTCAATACTCTTTTATTTCACTTACCTTAGAGTGATCGCCAATTTTTCCACAGGAGTTATGGGTATGCAACGTAAGCTGGATCGTCGTAAAGAAAACTCTAACTTGCAGAGTAATTCGTCGAAACTGCTTGTAGATAAGCGAAAATATTTATAAAATTTATAATTATTTTCTCGTAAATCGGAGAAAGATGTTACGTGTTCGCCTCTCAGTAACCTTGTAGCGTTATAAGGATCAACTATTCTCCTATTAAATCGCTGTTGCCTTCTTTTCCATAAAATGTAAACAGCCAGTACTCTAACCGCATTAACGTTCATTTTGTACACGACTGTCTCATAGCAGCGGAACGCGTGGTACTAATCTCGTTTTATAGTGCACCGCTGTTCAAGCGCGCGCTGTTAACAGCACGCTGCCCAGCGGCGCGTCTAGCGGCGTGACGATAAAACCAGCCTTTAGGGCGCGACCCATGTAGGGTTAATACCCTTATTTCTAGGCACATGCTAATAATAATACGGAAACATCACATAATTACCAAGATAACTGTGTTCGTATGGTATGTACCTTGGTAATATATTTGAAACAGATTGGTGTTAAATTGATGGATATCAAAAATTAATATATTATATTTTCAGACTGACACAAACAAAGAAAATAATATTCTGCCATTTAATTTATCATACATTATTATTCAACCAGATGGACCAAATTGTTGCAGAGGTAAATACACACATCAATAGTGTCAATAGATATTATTTTATTGTATTAACATCAGAACTTAAAACTATTCGCGGTATAGAAAAAGTTTGGACTTACGTGGGTAAAATCGTAAAGAACAGCTGCTAGTATAAGGTAGTTACCAGTTTCCTCAAGGTAGATGTTGTGTGTACTTTGACTTTTATATTGACATAATTTAATCCAATTTTTATTTGTTAAAATTTTACTTTCAGGTCATCTCCGAAACAAATAAATCGTTAACGGATAGTCCTTCCATAATAGAAAACTCTCCAAACCGATCCATTCCATACTTTGACCCAAAGGTGCTTTGTGTAGCTGACACCAACAAGGTGGGTTTTCAATTGACAATTTAAATATTATGCTGTTTATTTCTTCTTCAATTTAAATGAAATAATATTATTTCCAGCTACAAACGAAAACGCAAATTTAGGAGTTTACTATAGTTGAACAATTCTGAACAGTCACATGTACCAATGATAAATTAATTAAAAAATAATAAAATACTACTAATGAAAAAGAATACCTACCGTCAAAAAAGTCATATCGTGATTCGTCAACATCATCTGACAGTACTACTTCTTCTTCAAGTAGATCTTCATCATCGTCGTCGTCGTCTTCTGATGCTCACACCAATTTTGACAAAAATACATCAAATACCCATTTATCCATAGATGGGCCTTCCACATCCAACTTGACGGGTCAAGTTACACGCAAAAATACAAAGAATTACCATCAGTCACCCATTCATTCAAATGAAAGTGATGTAGACTTAAGTGACACAGTCCCAACTTATACTCTTGATAGCTCTCGGTCTAGAAGAACTACTAGTTTATCCAGCAGCAGTTCTTCGTCTTCAGCCAACACTGCCCTCGAATTGACTAAAACTTCCAAGACAACTAGAAAATCAAGAAAACGCTTACGAAATCCATCAAACTGGAAGCAAAATGTTGCAAAAATCTTAAGAAACACTGGAAAGGCTTGTTTCATGTACCACTAAAAAGGAAGTATCGGCCCGTGTCATTAAAAATGCTTGTAAATGTAGACTTAAATGTCCAGACAACGTCATTGATGCAGACAGAAAAACATTGTTTGATAAATATTTGTCATTAGGCAAATAGAACTACAAAGATCTTTCATACGAAATTGCATGATGGAAATTAAGCCAAAGTACAAATATAGTAATTCTGCTAAACCTAGACTACCGAATAATGCATTGTATTTCACAATAAATAAAACCCGAATTCGACTTTCTTCATTAATACTCTGGGAATATGCGATCGTCAGATCAGAACAGTAAAAAAGAATACTGACCCACAAGGATTCTTAAATACCGATATAAGAGGTAAGCACATGTCAAGACAGCCTATAGATCCAGCACTCATTGAGAAATTTAACAACACATAAACTCAATTCCAAAAATAGAGTCTCATTATTTGAGAGCAGCAACTACCAGAGAATACATCAGTGGGGATAGAACCTTAACTGACATCTGGAAAGATTTTGATAAAATTCAAAAACAAGAAGGTAAACCTTCTTGTGACTATTGGGTCTACTATGAATTTTTTACAAAACAATTTAATATTAGCTTTTTTCAACCGAAAAAAGACAGACGTGATTTATGTCTAGACTATGAAGTTGCAACGGTGGATCGGAAAACAAAAATAAAAGATGAGCACCTTAAAGAAAAAGATTTGTGTCGCCAAGAAAAACGCCTAGTCCGCCAAAACATCAATGATACATTCATTTGCTCTGTTTATGATTTACAAGCCGTCATGCAGTGCCGTACCGGAGACATTTCTCGTTTTTTTACAAATCAAAACTCAATTGTCTAAATTTCACTATAGTAGAATTAATGGCTAAGAAATCAGAAATACCTAAAAAACGTAAAAGAAATGAAGAAGACAATGACTATGACATAGGTGCTTACAGTGACGTGTACAGCTACTTTTGGGGTGAAGTGCAAGGAAACAGGGGAGCTAATGAAATAGGATCGTGTATTCTAGACTATCTGAACGACTTAAATGAACAAAAGCCGAATAAAAATCTTCATGTCACTTTTTATTCGGATAATTGTTGTGGACAGAATAAAAATAAGTTTATAATAACGTTATATTCTTATGCAGTTACTCATTTTGAAAACATAGAAACCATCACTCACAAATACCTCGTCAAGGGACATACACAAAACGAAGGGGATAATGTTCATAGCTTGATTGAGAAAGAATTTAAAAAAAAAAAGGTGGACCAATTTATGCACCATATCAATATGTAACTCTGATTAAAAATGTACGTAAGAATGGGAAACCTTTTACCGTTAGAGTTAACATACGAGTTTTTCACTAATTTAAAGGCACTTCAAGAACTATGGGGATATAATTTCAATGAAGATGATGATAAAAGCAATGTTATTTTGAACGACATAAAAGTTTTGCAGTTTAATAAAGCCGAACCATTTATCTTCTCTTATAAAACTTCGTACAGTCAAAGTGAGTTCAAAAAGGTTAACATAAGGAACAAACGTAAGAAAATGAGTCCAGAAGAAATAACTGTGACCAAAGCATTTTCACAAAGACTAGAGTTAAGTGAACGTAAGAAAAAAGACTTGCGCGATCTCATTAATAAAAACCTAATTCCTAGTTATTACGCAGATTTTTATAACTCTATACTGTAATTTTTTATTATTATGAAAGTTTTATGTATTAAGTTCCAAACAAGTTCCTTAATGATTGTGATAAGCTATACCTAATTATTAGGCAATTTAAATCAAAGATTTAAGTTCTGTTATGCAAAGTTTATTGGTAAATTATTTACCGTGGTTGTGATGATTGATAATAATAATAAAAGTAGATTTTTAAGCTAAAACTCTTTGTAAGTTTAATTTTTAATAAAACATTTTATTTCTTATGTTGTTTTTTATGTATCGAATATAAAATTACCTTAAATAATTTAACTATTATAGTGTCTTATTTGTGAATGTAACGCATCTTACAGTCAAAACTCAGAAATATAGAGACCTAAAACATAAAAGGTCTTTTTAAAAAATCCAATTTCATTAAAATAAAAACCTAAAATGCACCATGATTTTAAAATGTTTTAAATATTATAGTTTTATTTATTTAATTTCATTAATTTATTTAAAATGATCTAGGTAAATAACTAAAGTTTGATATAAAAATAACAATGTCATAATATTTTCAAAATTCAGTCGAATATCTTGTTTTCTACAAGATTGATAGACTTGTGAATCTTTATGCCACGCTTACCAAAAATTTGCGTTTCCTTGTTGAGTCTCTATAATTCTAAGGGTGCGACATATAGCTGCCTGGCGATTTAATTATTTGAATGAAATCAAAAAATATCGAGAAGAGGAGCGGACTATTGTCTATTTAGACGAAACATTTATTCATTCCTCATATGGGGTGCAAAAATGTTGGCAGTCAGTCTGAAGATGGTATATTGTTCAGAGATTCTGGTACGGGTAGACAGATGATGCATAATTGAGGCGTATAGTTTCAAAAACCACAAAGTCCATTTTTCCTGTGTTGCAACATTTTTATGCTAATGGCAACTTTATTTTAATTCACGCAATTTCAGTAAACCCAAACATATCATAACTGACAAAGTCCAATAGTAAATCAATTCGAAAATTGAATGTTGGGAGCAAAAACAACAAAGTCTTTCACAGTTGGTTTCAGAAACAGCTAAGTCCAATTTAGCCAATGGCATGCCGCCATTTTGATCACGTGTCACAACAAACAGTATGGCGGATACTAACATTCTCGCTCTCGTTACGTGAAGTAAAACTAAATAATTTAAGTGGTTAACGCTAAAATTTCACAATAAATGTGCATATTTTTCAAAGATGGACAAGATCCATCCAACCGTTGTAGATAAAAACAAGGCTCTGAAACGGCAGAGCAACCCAGAAAAATGGAAGCGAAACCAGCAGAAGCTAGAGAGGTCAGTGTATTGTGGATGGAATAGATTGATCCTTGTTAATTTTCTTTATATATGGTGTACTCTATGCTCTTTTTTGTATTATCTCTGATAAAGCACGGAACACCTTTTGTAATTAAAAAGTTACGTCGTCAGTGTGGTTCAGCTAAATTTCATTTTAGATATAAATTACAAGGTTGTTTTCCATCTTTTCAGATATTCTGCAAAAAAATTACCTGAAAAACCTAAATGTACGCATAAAAAAAGATTGGAGTGTGATTCGCTAAAAATGAACGATTTGAATTCATTTCATACTGCTTTTTATAAAAATAAGGATAAACTGTCACAGGATGCATTTATACTGAAACATATAAAAGGGGGTCCTACTTACAGACGTAGACCACGTAAGGCAACTCGCAAAGAAAAAGTAATAAGTACAAGGTAATATTACTTTTTCTTCATTTATAGTCGCTCGATAAAGAAAATGATAAGAGTTTGTCAGAAAACGTTCTTAGATGTACTTGGAATTAATAGGTATCGTGTTGAAGGTATAGCAAAGAAATTTCTTAAAGAAGGACTTATTCCAGAAGAAAGACGAGGAGGAGACCGTAAATCTCGTAAATATTTTGACAGAAAAACATCAGTTATGGCATTTGTAAAAAAACTAGTGTTCTGAGCCGCATTACTGCCGGGGAAGTAGCAGTGTAGGACTTTATCTTCCTGCCGAACTAAATATAAACGAGTTATATAAAATATATGATAATCAAGCGCCAGAACATTTAAAAGTTAAAAGAAATTATTTCAGGAATGTGTTTTACACCAATTTTAACTTGGAATTCGGTTCGCCGCGCACAGACGTGTGCTCTGTCTGTTTGCAATATGCAGAGAAAATTAAGGCAGCTAGAGATAACAGAACTAAAACTGATTTGATGATCCAGTTAAGAGTTCACAAAAAACGCGCTCAAGCTTTTTTCAATTACTTGAAAGAAGATTCCCCGAATGTTTTTATATTATCATACGACTGCCAAAAGAACATGCCGCTACCCAAAATTCCCGATCAGAGCACATATTATTCTAGACAGATTTATCTTTTCAATTTCACAATTGTAGCAGGCTCTTCAAAGTCACAGTTAAATAAAGACAGTACTTTTTCATATGTTTGGACTGAAGACCGATTTCCAAAAGATTCTAACTGCAAAGCATCTGCGATCTATCATCGATTAAATGCAACGACATTTCCTCTTCAAATTAATACGGTAAGATTAATGGCCGATGGATGGATGGCCGGCCAAAACAAGAATACCACTGTTGTAGGAATGTGCCAAAAGTGGTTTACAGAAGCTCCTCAACATATAAAGAAGATGGAAATAATATTTCCTGTCGTGGGCCATTCTTTTCTTCCCGCAGATCGTGTTTTCGGGAGGATAGAGAAGGAATTTCGCAAGCGAGACACAATACTGGAGCCAACTGGTTACACGAATATTATAAAAGAATACTCCAGTCTCATTTCAGTAGGACAAGAATATCCGGTCAAAGATTGGAAAGACGCTGCCAAAAAGGTTTTAAAACCCGTTGGAACATGGCATGTACCTTTTATGAAGTGCAAGCGTTTTATATTGAAGCGTTCTAAAATAACAGCTGGAAACGTATTGGTAAAAGGTGAAATACATTATGTTGCTGACACCGGAGCATATAGAAATGTCTGTAAAAAAGGCAAATATCATGTTCGTAACATGATCAATCCGCAAGAATGTACCTTTTATGAAGTGCAAGCGTTTTATATTGAAGCGTTCTAAAATAACAGCTGGAAACGTATTGGTAAAAGGTGAAATACATTATGTTGCTGACACCGGAGCATATAGAAATGTCTGTAAAAAAGGCAAATATCATGTTCGTAACATGATCAATCCGCAAGATATACGATTGGGATCGGGAACCCTTAAAGCAACAAAATTAGAGATGTCAACAAATTATTAAGTACTCACTTTGACGTTGACTGGAGGAGTTATGAGATGTTGTCTTTTTACGACAAATTAATACCAAATACGGTACCAGTCGATGACGTGGAAAATGAAGAGGATGAAAATAATGATGTTGATCTAGAAACTTCGTGCCAAGAACAAATAATTTTAAATGACCTAATGATTTAATTTTTACCAATAGTTTTAAAAAAAATGTTACTATCAATTTCTTTATTTATCTCTAAGTATACCCATTACCAACTTAATTAATTATGTTCAAAATAAATACTATTTTCATTGAGCACTTCAAAGTATCAGGTTGAGTGAAGTATACCTCAAAATTGTCATATCAAAAACAGCAATGTCCATGTTTATCAGATTCAAAACCAGCAATGTCCGAGCTTCAGTTTCAAATTCTGCTAAGTCCACCACTTTTTCGTCTTTTACATTTACAGGAAGCATTTTTATACTGCAAATAGATGTTTATATGAATTTGAGATACTTATCCTAAACAAACCTGAAAAATGAAATAGTTAGAGTAATTCTAGAAAAAAATGACAATAAATTCTCTCCCTTGGCATTTAAAGGCTACTGGACTTAGCAGTTTTTGAAACTATACGCCTCAATTGTACACGCAGGAACTACGGACGGCTTCATTAATAATGCGTTACTGCTATTCAAGTCATAAATAAAATCATCCGACTTTCATGACGTCATGAATAGCGATAACTTTATAAAATGGCTGGAAAAACAAGCTTTACCAAAGCTGCCACCTAATTGTGTGATTGTAATGGATAATGCATCAAATAAATAAAAGCCATAATATGGCGAGCCTCAAAGCAGATATGGTAGAGTGGCTTCAAAACAAGGGGCTGTTGTTTTTACCTAAGTTAACAAAAAATGCTTTATATGAATTAATAAAAAAAATAAACCAGAGCCCATAATATATAAGGCTGGCGAATTAATAAAATCACATGGTCATGATGTTTTGCGACTGCCCCCATATCACGCCGATTTAAATCCATTGGAGTTAATATGGAGTGTCGTGAAGAGTCGGTTGTTCGCAGAGAAAAATGTCGGCCAGAGAGAGATGATCAAGTGGAATCACTTATAAAAGAAGTGTTTGGCTCAATAAACAATGAGCTTTGGAAAAAAGAGTGCTCACATGTTATAAAAATTAAAGACGAGTACATAGTCAAAGATAAAATAATATATGAAGGAAGTGATCGCTTTTTATTGTGGGTTGGCAGTGATAGTGACGAAAGTGATAGATTCAAGTAACATTGAAGAAGATATGATTCCTTTACACCCTTATTGTTATATTATCATAATTATATAAAGTAATTCTTTATTGATGTCTTAATTAATTTATCCTGATTATTTCAAATGACGTATGAATAATTTCATAGAGTACACTATGATACTTAAAAATATATATAGTCATCACCACGTCAGTAGCAACAATTAAAACAAAAATAGATATTATAGAAATAAAGTCGTTTTCAAGATTTAACTGTTAGCGCAATGTGCGTTTGACTGTATAAGGCAGCTTTGAAGCCGCAACCTCGTGCTTGACATGCATGTATAGATGATTTTCCTGTTCCATAATTCCTGTCCCTACATTTCGGGGACGCTATTCGTATTGAAGCATGCAACACTGCAAATTACAGTGCTGCCAATCAGCTTACGCGTCAAGTTACGATGAACGGAGAATACTTTACAAAACTAAGGTAATGGCACCTATAGATGACATACCACCTAAAGATGACAGTGTCTCATAACCTTTCAAAAAACAAGAGTTTTAAAAAAGTAGCGGGAATTTTATTTGTTGCACTGACAACACTGATTCTTCTCCCTGGAGACAACATAACAAAACAATCAAACGCCATTGTGGTTTCCATAATACGGTCTTGTTTATGTTTGTGGTTGTATCATTTGCTGTTTTTCGCTTCAATTCTAGTGATTTGGTTAAGGTAAGTGTATTTACTATTTAAGTTTTTTTATCTCGATATTTATCGCAATGATATACTTACCTAAATAAGTTTTTGTCATTGTTAGACTTAATTTCACAACAAAGCGCTTTGCACAGTCATTTTGGTTATGGGTTGGGGTTGCAAAGGCGGTGTCATGTTTAGGTTCCTTAAGAGGCGCAGTTTCCTAAAGATGATCGTATTGTCATCTTAAAGTTTTTTAGCCCCGATTGATGCTTCAGTGCTATAGAAGTTAAAAAATAAAAAGAATATGTAGAATTTTTATTTCGGTGCAATAGTTGTCCAGGAACCTTAAGCTGACAGCTATGTCATCCTTAGGTTCTTAGCGTGTCATCTTTAGGTTATGCATACGTAACCCTAAGTAACTTTTTATTTTTTTAGGTGAATGAAGACGATGCCTCCCACAAAAATTCTGCAGTATGATGAAGAAGTTATGACAAAAGCCCTGGATGACGTGATGCGTGGGGTCCTGTGTACGCGGCTGCTAAGAAGTACAAAATACCCCGCTCTACACTTCGGAGCAAGGTCAAAGGGATCAACCCAATATCAAGAAAAATGGGAGCCCGTACGGCTTTTACGGCCGATGAGGAACTGAAAATTGAGGAATGGGTCCTTGAATTAGCGAGAAAAGGATTTCCCGTTTCGAAAGGAACTTTTTTAATAAGCATGCAAAGATTAGCCGCTCAATTAGGGAAGGACATTTTCCGTGATAGGGTTCCATCCAAAAAGTGGTATGGCAGTTTTATGAGTAGACACCCTCGGATTTCTAATCGCGTTGCCCAAAATTTAACAAAGAGCAGGAGCTCAATAACAAACGAACAATTAGACGGCTGGAAGAATGACGTTTATACGTATTTAGAGGGAAACGGATTGGCGAGCGTCTTGGATGACCCCAAACGCGTATTTAACGCTGATGAGACAGCATTTTTCTTGCAACCAAAAGCCGGAAAAGTTATGGCTGAACGCGGTTGTAAAAATATTTATCAAGCGGTTGGTAATGACGAGAAAGAGTGCATTACAGTTCTCTTTACGGGCAATGCTAATGGAGATCTTGCACCACCCTTGGTAGTCTTCCGTTATACACGTATTCCGCTCCATATCACCGTAAATGTGCCCACATCATGGGCTATAGGAAAAAGTGAGCAGGGATGGATGACCTGCGCAATTTTTTATGAGTACATTGGAAACCAGTTCATTCCATGGCTGGAAAAAGAAAAGATAGTGCGGCCAGTACTATTTTTTGTCGATGGCCACGTCTCCCATCTATCTATGGAGGTTAGTCAGCTTTGCAGCCAAAATGACATCGTTTTAGTGGCCTTATACCCCAACGCTACCCATTTGCTGCAACCGATGGACGTCTCCGTATTTCATACGCTGAAAGCTTCGTGGAAGGAGAAAGCTTTACAACATCGATTAAGCGGTGGTGAAGTGTCAAAAAGTAATTTTTGCGCCTTACTTGATCAACTTTTATTGGATGTGTATCGGCCAGAAATTTTGGCAAATGGGTTCAAAAAATGTGGGTTAGTGCCCTGGAACCCTTTGGAAGTCACTGTTAGGCCTGCTGCGCCACCGAAGGCAACTGAACCCAATACAGAAACTAATTTGTGCTGTCCTAATTGTATTCCGTGGCTGAAGACAGTAATCGGGGCAGAAAAAATTGCTTCTTTTAGTGGGAATAAAGATTCCATCCCTGTTACCGACCATTCCCTGTACGAGCTATGGAAGAAGGTGACAACAGGATTAGAAAAAAATACTGTGACTATTTTGGAAGCCCCTTTAGCAAATGCAGAGGATCCTGTTGAAGACGGAATGGAAATTCCTGCTCCTTTGGAAGTTTCTGCTCCTTTAGATCCTGTTGAAGATGGAATGGAAATTCCTGTCCCTTTAGAAGTTTCTGTTCCTTTAGATACTGTTGAAGACGGAATGGAAGTTCCTGCTCCTTTGGAAGTTTCTGCTCCTTTAGATCCTGTTGAAGATGGAATGGAAATTCCTGTCCCTTTAGAAGTTTCTGTTCCTTTAGATACTGTTGAAGACGGAATGGAAGTTCCTGCTCCTTTGGAAGTTTCTGATCCTTTAGAGGCTTCGGGAACTCCTATTCCTTCTACATCATCTTATATCCCGTCGCCTTTTAAAAGATGCCATTTCTGGCCAAAGGAAAGTACGGTACCGAAAAAGAGAAGGTCGAAGGAAAAAATCCCTTCGGTGATTTCATCCCCTCAGTGGCAGGAGTATCACCAGAAAAAGTTAAATCTGAAGAAACAGAAAGATGAGGAGAAACAAAAACGATTGGCGGCTAGGCTTAAAAAGAGGCAAGAAAAAGAGGACGAGAAGTGCAAAAAAGCCGCGAGGCGCCTCTTTACCTCTTCTAGAAAAACTAAAGAAAGTGAAGATTCAGATGCTTCATCAAATGACGAAGCTGGGAGTTTGAAATCGTCGTCTGGAGGTGAATGGGATGAAAAAAGCTCAGGATCCTCCGATAATGAGCTGCAAGCCCCAAGGAAGGAGGTTGGGGAGTATGTTGCCGTAAGATACGAAAATAAGATTTTTCCTGGTAGGATAATCGTTGTCAAAGAAGATGGAGTCGTCGTGACTGCCATGGTGCGTCATGGGCGACTGTGGAAATGGCCTCAAAGGGAGGATCGGTTATTTTATGCTTGGGACGATGTTGTGGGCAAAATAAAAACGCCCACCAAATTTAGTTCAACTAGGGAGATTTATGATGTGCCCCAGGTTGCAAATCTTTAATTTCTTTATTCTAATTAAAATAAATGTGTTATTATTTTTGCTAATTTGGCTTTTTAATTTACACAGAAACCTATGTCATCTTTAGGTGCCGTCATTGTCATCTTTAGGAACCGAACGAATTTTGAATGTCATCTATAGGGGCCAATTGAGTGATTAAAAAAAAATTAGTTCCATTACATCTATGTAAACGCAGGGCGCTGAAAACTTTCTAGCTGATAGACAAATACTCAAAGCCTGTTTGAGCACTAACAGTCATGAGAAAGTCTGTAATTTGTGGTTTCCACGGTGCAAGATATAGAAAAAAATCCTTAATGTGTCATCTATAGGTGCCATTACCTTAGTTGCGTTTCGTAGCTTCACCTGATTTGTCATGATGCAAACAAAGGCTTGTGCTGGTAGGTGCCTACCTAATTTTACTATATTTTACCTATATAGCAGTATCGCAGGTATTCCGCTTAAAATATTGGATAGGAGGTTGAACAGAATATTTAAACAAGTTAAAATTATATGTTGGTTCTGTTTATTCAACCGCCTAGTTACAGATGTGCAACCGACAAATATTTACAACATCTATTATTTGGTTTGTTTAATTATCTTTTGTTGAATTTAACCCACCATCGGTCGCGTGAGGTCTTTAAAAGCCCGAAGTTTACGGAAAGTGCGATATTTAAAAAAAAAGTAAAGATACAAATTTGTACCTTATGGTAGCTTCCTAAAACATACTTTGCTATTTCCTAGTGCGCTTAAAATTAGTTTGCGCGTTACGCTTGAACAGAATAGACGTGTTATTTAAGAAAGGGCTTTGAAAGACCCCATGCGACCGATCTTGTAACTGATATGGCATCAAGATGTTTGCCATGGTGGATTTTAGAAACTTTTGCACAAGCTACACGGAGGTTTATGTTGGCAATCAACCTGCTGGTCTTATGGCTGTGGATATATCAACAAACACTCTTGTATAACGACTTATAGCGCCAATTTCAGGAATGAACCGCAACGTGACCGTTGGCGACCGGCTAAAGATTTGCTAAGAGACCACAAGCTTACTATTGTTGACACCATGAGGCAAAATAAGCCTGAGATCCCTATTGAGCTAAAAGCTAAAAATAGAGATATTTTTTCCTCTTTCTTTCCTTTTGGAAATGAGCAATATACTCTGGTCTCTTATGCTACAAAAAAAAATAAAGTCGTTATATATAAATATGTCAGAGATGCACCACGATGTAGCAGCAAATCTGGAAACAACTTAGAAAAAGCCCGAAATCATAGAAGTTTTTAATATTACGAAAGGTGTCGATGTTGTTAACAGGTTGAAAAAGAATTATTCTGTTGCGAGAACGTACTGCCGTTGGCCGCTGAGAAAATGTTTCACACTGATGGATATTACAGATATAAATGCGCAAATCATAATGACATGCAATCAACCAGATAACAGCATAAGCAGAAAAGCGTTTCTGAAACAAAATATCACTTTCGCTTTGTGAAGATTATCTGAAATATCGGAGCATAAGAAAACTCTTCCAAGATCACTCCGCGTTTCACTGGAGATAATGTGCTAACAATGGACGGCTCCGTGGCGCAGTGGCTTAGCAATGAGTTGCTGCGCTGGGGGGCGTGGGTTCGAATCCCGCACGGAACAAGTATTTGTATGGCCTACAAATAATTGTTCCGGGTCTGGATGTTTGTCCTTGTGCAATTTGTGTTTGTGAACTGCCTCCACGATACAGGAGAAAATCCTAGTGTGGGGGTAACGTTTTTTTAAAAAAAAACAAAATGGAACCCCTAAAATCAGGGTCAGATATCAAGAAAATGGTGTGCCTATTGCCCACGAAACATTGACAGAAAATACTCCACATACAAACATATGTCCATGACACTCATCCACTATTTGTGTCAGTTGTGTAGAGGAAAGAAATTAGGACTGATTATTTTTATTTCTTTTTGATTTCTAAAGGCTGTTTTTTTTATTAATTGAGAAAGCATGTCATTTTTGTTAATTTTGTTTAGTTTTAGAAGAAAAAGATTTAATTTTGTTAATGTTTTTTAGTATTCTCTAAGAACTGACTGGAAACAAGAAGAATAAGAACAAAATGACTGGAAAAATTGTACATTTTTATTATGACAATTTTTTTGTTAATTATAGAAAATTAGAACAAAAATTTTGGTTTCATTTAAAACTCAAATTAACCCTAAAAGTAGTATAAAAATAAAAATAACAATAATTTTAGAAATTAAGATGCTTTCTAAAGTGGGGTTCTAAAAACCCCACCTGTCCGACGATGTCATAAAAGAGAGCACGATCAATGGCGGGTTAATGATATAATCATCATGTACGTGGTAGAGCCATGCTGCAGCTATATTAGTAGTATAGTTGTAGCACGAATGGGTCGGCTCGACCGGGGAAGGACCACGCTCTCACAGAATACCAACGTAAAATAGCTACCCGCTCGGCTTAGCTTTCCATTGACGTCAGTGGAGTTTGGTGTTGATACGTATTTTTACAGAAAGATTACACTATTATAAGCACACACACAAAGTCTCAATATACGGAAACGCGTAATTTTTGAGGAAAGAATAATTGAAAATCAATTACTCTTGCAATGTTTATGTCTAATCTGCTAATAAACTGGCGCTATTTTGTAATGTCATTGCCGACGTCAATAGGGATGTCGACTCTTTCCGAAAAAGGTCGATTTTTAAATCGATTCAAATCGTAAGCTGATGTATCGGTTCACAAAAAATCGATTTCTAAAATATCTATATTTTTTTAATGTTTCTATTTATAATGTAAATATAAACCCATTTTATGAAAAACAAGAAAGATACCATGATAAATGATCTCTTATTGAAATTTGTTTTATTTAACAGTACCTATTAGGGCAGATAACAAATAAAATAGGTTAGGTCCAACTTATGTCAAAGAACCGAATTGATTGACCCCGACTCCACCTGGTACGAGTCTGTCCTACCCCTAGAGTGGTTTTATAGAGCCGGAGGCGCGTAGGGGGAGCAGCCTCCGCCTGCTGTAAGAAATCGTAGGCATCGGACGAGCCGGAGCGGCTGAGGCTGGACGCCGAAGGCGACCAATAAGCCGAAGCTGCGAGGCGGTTGCTCTTCCCGCAGCGCCGGAGACGTAGCAGTCTCAAAATAGATACAGAAATCCTTATGAATCAGTCCCCTTATTTTTTTATGATGAAGGGGATTTTTTTCTCATAAAATGGATTTATATTTACATTATAAATGCAAACATGAAAAAAATATCGATATTTTAGAAATCGATTTTTTGGGAATCGATACATCAGCTTACGATTTGAATCGATTAAAAAATCGACCTTTTTCGGAAAGAATTGACATCCCTATTGACGTCGACGATGACATTACAAAATGGCGCCAGTTTATTAGCAGATTAGACAAACATTGCAAGAATAATTGATTTTCAATTATTCTTTTCTCAAAAATTACGCGTTTCCGTATATTGAGACTTTGTGTGTGTGCTTATAATAGTGTAATCTTTCTGTAAAAATACGTATCAACACCAAACTCCACTGACGTCAATGGAAAGTCGTACCATTTATTAAACATATGCTAATGATATATTTAAATAATGACTGAATGAAATACTTTGATTGAAAATACATGTGTTATTTTACAATGAGTCTATAACTTTGTGTGTTTTTAGCAGATCTAAGCTTCTGATTCACCAACTGTCTGAGAAATCGGTATTTCATCATCAAGCTTTGGTAGAATTAAAATTTCTTTTGATATAATTGAGTATTTTGTAACAAAGAATGTAAATCTCTTGCACAAATGTGTTTCTTTTTCAAAGGCATCAAATATTGCACGATGGTGAAAGTATGCATGCGAAAAAATCCTATATACTCTCCTGCAAACTGAACCCAATTTACCCACTGATGATTCTTTTATGCTGACTCTGAAATAAAGAGTAATTTTAACAAAATTTACACATATGGTATATAAAATAGTTTGTGATGCACATACTTTATAAGAAAATTATAAGTGACATCAAACATTAATTAACATTACAGACTATCAAAAGTCTACTGCTTAGAAATGCCACCCCCATAGATTGCATCATAAGAGGAGATATTTGCCATAGTTGCTGCTTGGCAGGCAGGTTGGCAACCACAGGATTTTCTATTTTTTAGTTGTTATTAGGAAGACCCTGCTACCCATCACTTGGTTTGTTTCCTTTAATCATCTTTTATACTCTCGCTTGGTGTACATCACACATCGATAACCTTTAAAGTCTGAGTCATTGCTGGTGATAGGTATTTCCAATTATACATCAGCTGGTATGCATTTCTAGAGATTTATCCCTGCAGAGCTTAATAATTCAATTGGCAGGGAAGGTGCACTGTATGCAAGTTAGGTTGGTATTTAGAGAAATAGTTGGTATATTCTCATAAATAAATTATACACCCAACATTTTTTTAATAAATGGATAGGTTATATTTATATATAAATCTTGATAATTACCTGCTTGGAAAGTATTTATTACTGTTCAGTAGGCAAGCAGCACCATCAAGAGTGTGTCTCGTATAATCAATAGCAGGACATTCCTTTGGGGTCTTGTGAGCAGCACAAAGAAATATCCATTGTTCTGTAGCAGTCATCTGTGTACATGTTTCTGGCTTACACTCACTTTGTAATCTTACTGCAAGTCCATTTAGTTCCATACAAAACTGTCTGTAAGTTAGTATATTTACTTTATCAGGATTGAAACATCAAAATATCACATCACAATATAGTAAAAAATAAGACAAGCCCACCACATCTGACAGTTAAAGTAATCTCAAAAATCCAAAATCGGTTTCTTTAAAAATTCACCAATGGTTAGTATGTCCCTGAATTATTAACTTACATTAAAAATATGTATTACAATTTGAAAAATTAAATACCTTAAATGTTCGTATTTCCAAACACCTTCATCTTGAGCCTCAGGCATTTTAAGGATAGCTTCTAAATTAGCAGGATCACGTCGAATAGTTTGTTGAATGAATTGTTGTACAGCCAATGTACTGTCCATTTCTTCAAATGGTTCATCGGGCCAGCGACAAAAGTCCTATAATATTATTTCTATATTACGAATAAAAATGTAATGTTAAAGGGTAACATATAGATGAAAACACAATAAAATCACCTTAGCTTTAGAGCCGGGTCGATTACGTCTAAGTATTTGCACTCCATCAGCCATAGCTACAAAAGCTATGTGCACAACACTATTCAATTAAATATGAGAATTAGTTAGCTAGTGATAAATACTCAAAGAGAATGTAATAAGTAATTAACAAATGTAAATGCAAAGGTTAAACAACTAACACTATAAATTAAATTGAATAATTTTAAATCACAGGATAAACGATAAATATATAGCAGTAGCACAAGCACAAGCCATTTTGAATCTGACATGTGTCAAAGTCAAATACGGTGCTGCCATCGCTAAAATCTGAATTGCCGTATGTTAAGGAAAAAATTACTAAATTGACGTATTTTTAATTATTTATTTTAAAAATGTCATTTCTCATTTGTTTCTTCTCTGTAAAGGTTCTTAGCGTTTCTATCACCACGGACAGTAATCTTCATAGAGAAAATCATAGAGATATATACCTATGGAAAGGGCATATTCCACTATAGAAATAATAGTTATACAAATATCTATAATATCGACATACACTTGTCAAAAACAGTTTTGTCTCTTTTTAACAAAGCAGTAGCTGCAATAGAAAAGGGAGACATCTACAGTTTATAAAGTGCTTATTTTGGTAATACTTTCGTGTGACGTCATTAGCTCATCCTTGCATGACTACGCCGCCATGTTAAACGCCAAGTTTTGAGGTAGATCTGCTGTCAAACTGTCAAAAAAGCAGTGAAATAGTGTCGTACACTCTTATCCATGGTGTCGATAGAAATTATTTTAATAAATTAATTTTGTTCAGAAATGAATATATAATAATAATAATAGTTTATAAATCCTGGATATCATAATTCATCCACCGTTTCATGATCATGCCAGATTTTCGAATTGAAATGAACAAAATTAATGTACCTGCGAAAATAATAATATTTAACTATATATAAAAAAAAATTATAAAAAAAATTATAAAAAAAATTATAAAAAAATTAAATATGATATTCGGCAGGACCGAACATGCTTATATAACTTACCATTTGTGATCAATTATGTGTAAAACGTTCCTATATACACCAATTAATAATAAATAAGTATTAATTTATTTAATTTTTACTAAAAATATTATAATATGGGATTACAATATGGAATCAAGGATCTCCATCCCATCTCCAAACATTTGTTTACTGTACAATATTATTGTACAGTAAACAAAGGTATTTGGTATACAAGCAAAAATATTAATTTTCCCGTGGGCGTTATAACTTTTTAACTTTGTTCACATTGATATAAAACAAAACGTGTGTTTGTGTGTGTGTACTTATGTACGTACGTAAGAAATTATATTTCTTTAGCATAACAAAACAAAATAACTAAAATAAATCACGTTTTATACATTCATATATATTTGAATAACTACCTCGAATATAGTTATCAGTTCTCAGGAAAACTTAACAATTGACAGACAATTAACAATTGAAGTTGTGAAAAATTCACTCTCATCATTTTTCTCAAACGCGCCAAAAGAAGTATAACTTCAAAACTTCAGTCAGCACTTAGCACACTCAGAACATTGTTTAAAACAAGTTGAAGTTAGCTGTCTACATACTTAACCCATTATTAGACTGTGTACCTAATACAAAAAATCTGTAGCAGAGTTTGCATTGCGTAAGTGTACATTTGCGATGAAGCCTCGTGAAGCAGCTCAAGCGAAATTTAAGGGATAGCAATCCACAACTAACTTAACAACCCAACAATATCCATTGCTTCATGTGATTGAAAAATTCGTTTGCTCGACAACAAAAACCGCGCAATGGATGTTGTTAAACTGTCAAATTGGTATGGTTTGCGATTTTAGGTGTTACGCAATTGGGCTATGGATTTAATTTCTATAATTATATGAAATAAGTACAAACTCATATTAGTAAAAATACTGATATCAGCTGCCTATATTGCTGAGTTACAACCCTATAAAAGGCGGCCATTTTACGCGCCAGATTTGTTTAGGTAGTCACGCTAATTCTTTTGGTATGCCCAGTCCATATACTTCTAAGTCAGTGGAGAAAATATTGGACATGACATGTCATAGCAAAATGATATATGACAGTTAACACCCCCTAGCCCCTCGACATCCCTTCTAAGCACAGATTAACTAGTAGATTCTACACGAATCTTTTAAGCACAGACTAACTAGGAGATCGGTTGCAGCTTGCAGCCATTTCGGGTAGAATCTACTAATTAGTCTGTGGCAGCCATATTGCTTTTTTGTCCGTAATCATAGTGTCACTGTGTGATATTACGGATTTACTGATTAAAAAAAAATCCGTTTGGTTGCGTTGATTTATTTCCGCCCTTATTTTGCATTTTTCTTTGCATTTGCTTGTATTTTATATCTCTTGATATGTTTTATAAGTGTTGTGTACCAGGTACAAGTTCACAACAGGACGCTATTTTACACAAATTTCCCGCTAATGTGAAAATGCTCAAGAAGTGGCTTGAATTAATTCCTTGTGATTTGTTACAGAAGAAAAGTATTAGTGATCTTGCCCACCTGCAAGTCTGTCACAAATATTTTGAGTCTCGTTTTGTTACTGGAAAAATCACATATTTTAAAGATAGCTTATCCAACACTGTTCCTGGAATCTGAGATCAGCACTGGCATCCCACTAAACCTTTCAGAGGGCATTGGTAAGTTGATATTATTTTAATTAATAGCTTTACCATACAAAATAAAACTATGCTATGTATGTACTATGAACTTTAGTTTTTATTTTGAAATTTAACAAAATCTGTTCTTTTTCTACTAGAAAATGTGAATGCTCTTGCTGACCATCAGCATGCGATGAAAAGGCATTATGACCACACCTATTTTATAACAGAAGTGTTAGAATCATACACACAATTACCTGTGTTTATGATGCCAATAAACATAGGTAATTAGCTAAAAAAACCCTTTAATTTTATTAGTTGTTACTTTGCAACCAATAACCATTAGAAAGTATTTTTATTTTCTATAAATGACTCATATAATGAACATAATATTGACGGCTCCGTGGCGCAGTGGCTTAGCAATGATTTGCTGCGCTGGGGGGCGCGGGTTCGTATCCCGCACGGAACAAGTATTTGTATGGCCTATAAATGATTGTTCCGGGTCTGGATGTTTGTCCTTGTGAAATTTGTATTTGTAAACTGCCTCCACGATACAGGAGAAAATCCTAGTGTGGGGGTAACGTTTTTTTTTTTAAAAAAAAAATATCGTCTATACTTAATTCCATGATCTATAAATATGTTAAACTGTTTTTGCAGAAATGCAGCCGTCTACATCCAAAGTAAGGATTATGGACTTCACAATCCCCAAGAACCTTCAAGCTGAAGAAGGTTTCCAAGAAAAAGGTTAGCAATTATTGGTAAAATTAAAATTACCTACCTTTTTAATAATAATAATAATTAATCTATAATATAAAAATGAATCGCTGAATGTGTTGCTAAGCGCAAATCTCGAGAGCAGCTGAACCGATTTCGCTAATTCTTTTTTTATAATATTCCTTGAAGTACGAAGATGGTTCTTACGGAGAGAAAAATTTAAAAAATTGCCTGAAAAAGTAAAAAAACAACACTTTTCTATATTCCCATACAAAAAATTCGTAATAATCCTTAAAATTCAATTTGAACTTTAATACCATACCATAAAGTTTAAGTGTTAGTGAAGGGGTTCCGGGAAGGCAAAACAATTATAATTTTTATTTTTTGACATAATGTAATTGTTGACTTATCAACTTTCTTTTTTCTTTTTTTATCTTACTAGCTGACCCGGTGTTCCGAATAGCAGAATAAGTATTAAAAAAAATTAAAAAAATCGACTGTTACCGGCGAAGTTTGCCGGGTCAGCTAGTTATTTTTAAAAAGGTAGGTAGGTTTTTGCATTTTTGTAATATTGACACGTTAAGTGAAAAGTCATCAGTGGGTGTACTCATAGTGCACTAGGTGGCAGTTGTACACTTATACTATTAAAATTTTCACCACTTTTATCTTATTTGGTATTTTTGGCAAATTTATTATAATTAATATTAAGTAGGTAGGATGTCATATACATCAGTTCATAATGACTTATGTTAAATCAGCATATTTTTTATAAAATTAAATAATCAATGAACTTAAAGTTCACATGGTGGTAAGTGCCTAATGCGATTTATAATCCATTGCAACTACAATCAAATAAAGTAGGCTACAGATATACAGTAGGCTACAGACTAAGATGAAATGGCCCTTCAACACTGCATGCATTGCTATTTGGCAGCAGAAATAGTAACCTATTATTCTTTTCTATCTAAGCAGTCTTAGACAGAAAAGAAGTCCTACCACTTAGATTTAATAAACATGAGTATAATAATGACTTTTCTAAATCTGTTTAAAATGTTTATATAATAATAATATAAATTGGTCTTGTTTTTATAAAAAAGTTAATACATAGTTATTTTGGTTACTTTATAAAATCCTCTTACTTCTATTAAATATTGCATTTTATTGTTTATATTATTAAGAAATTTAATTAAATAATGTAAATAAAAATATAATAGTTCCAATAAAAAGATCAATAAATATATGACAGTTATAATAATAATATTTTTTTGATTTCAGACAATACATACTCATTTCTACAGGAAAATAGTTCTTCTGATCAGCCGTAAACAAAATTATTGTAAAGTAAAAATTAATAACTCATAAAAAAATATTAAATTTCATCATTGTTTCATTTTTATTTGCCTCATTTTATTATCAATATTTTAAAATAAATTTTGCAAGTAATTAAAAACAAGCTTATTTGGGACGTCCTTTGCCTGATATAGCTGCTTCAAATTAAAAAAAAGAAATGTCATATATCATTTTGCTACAACCAATCAGGATGCAGAGACTAAGTCAAGTAAGTTTAGTTCGTGAGATGTCCGTCTGATTCGTTTAGAATCTACTTGTTAGTCTGTGTCTATCACTTCAGATTCACGTTTACCTAGTGAGTATTTGTCCTTGCTTCTCATTTTTTTACAAACTACTTACTCTAAATATTTTTG